GTGCAAGCACAAAAAATTGGGCACATTTGACTTTTGGCAATTTTGCAAAAAAGGTCAACTTTGCCAATGCATAACTCCCTCAATTTTGACTCTAGAGAGGTGTTCTTGGACTTTTTAGAAATCTTGAGATGTCCTATAAGAAAACCTTTTAGTCTCATCTCAATTGAGTCTTCCATGTTCATGTATGAAGCTTTGACATAAAAGGTGTTTTTGTTGACTTTTCAAAATGACCTATAATGTCCAAATTCATATCTTCTTGTGAGTGCATATTCTGAACTTGGGAGATGAAGATGGATTGTAGGGAATTGTATCCTCTTCAAAATGAGCTTTGGATGGGTCATTTTTGATAAAGCATGAGAAAGTTATACTTGGTCAAAGTTGAGTTGACTTTTCCTGCAAAACCCTAATTTAGCAACTTTTGGGTCTTGATGAGTTGTGAGCAATCCTTGAGGAATCATGATCAACCCTTGATCAAATGATGAATAATACTTCAAAATGAGAATGTTGACCAAAAATCTTGAGGTTTGACTGTATGTGGGCCACAATTGACTTTTGCCCTAGCATAGTCGATTTTCAGGCCCTTGAGCAATTGACTGAGCAAATGTCCTCTGCAAGGCTTGAAACTTGACATGGATGATCTTGAGAACATATTAGGGTAATGGTGAGAATTTTGGATCTTCTAGACTCAAGTACCTTGGTGCAAAATGAAACCTTAATTTGAGGTAGACTGCCTTAGGAGAGAGTTTGTCTGGCCAACTCTTAGACTTCCTTAAGCAATTTGAGGACCTCACTTGAAATGTATTGAGAAATATGGGAGGGAAAATTTTGGGGTACAACAGTCGCAGGGAGGATCCCTTGGCCGAGGTTGTCCTTTGTTTCCCCTGTTTCTATTATTTCCAGGGGATCGTCGCTCCATGCGCGATGGAGTGTGACCGCGCCTTCCCGTAGCTTCGGGCTAGTTCCTCTCCAGCACAGGACGTCAACCAGCTCGTCATGGAGAAGGGTTGCGTGAGATATCCCACCTGCGTCTCCGCGGGGGAGATTGGGGAAAGTCTTCATTGTACCGGGGAGGAGGAGTGTCAGGTCTTCTGTGCCTTCTGAGGGCTCGACGAGTTTGCTCGAGCACTCTCAGCCATTCACCCTGTGAGAAGATCAGGTATTTGGTTTGGTTGATGGCCGCGGACATAGCTCTGATTGTGGCGTCTGCACCAACTGGAACAAGGACCTCCTGGAATGAATTTGGTTCGTAGTTCTGGGGAGGACGATAATTGTTCTCCCGCAGTTACAAGCGGGATGATGAAGAGGCGGCCAGTTCGTCTATGTAGTTTTGCTTGGGACCATGCATGTAGACGTCGTTGTCGGTGTTGTTGTTTCCGACACTGTTGTCGCTGATGTTGTTGTTGTTGGGGTCGATGAGGTGAGCATTTCGGTTATTATCAACAGCTTGGTCGGCCATGAAAATCATATAGTTTGATGAAAGGTTTCTTTGGTCTTGAGAGGAAGATGGGGAACCTGTTTCCCACAGACGGCGCCACTGATCGTACCTGACCAGAAGGAATTGTCAAAGACTTCAAGCTTTAAGTCAAGCAACAGTTGAATGCAAAGTGGGAGGGTACCTGCAAGACACTCGGATGCCAAAGTAAATTCCAGAATGAGTGTTAGCAAGTATGAGAGTAAGTGAGTATGAATATGAATATCCGACTCTCTCAAGTGAGAGGGTATTTATAGCCCCAAGTGTTGGGCCAAGGTCTTCAATGATGAGTCACGATGAGGCCCAACAACGAAGACCGCCAGAGCTTACGTGTGTATAAAGTCCAACACATGGCCTCCTCCCTGGTCAACTGTCCCGAAAAAGCAGGAGTTGGACCCGTTATTTCTAGATGGCAGGATGATGATGATATGGACACGTTGGCAACATCCTCTTAGCAGACACGCGGGGAAATGCCCAACGGTTTTTAGATTGGGCTACATTCTTTTGGACCTTTGGTAAAGACACTAGATTGGGTCTCCCCAACGGTGAAGCAAGTGTCGGTCCAATCCAGAACAGTTTTCATGCAACAATTTCTCCTGGAGAAAGTTTAGTTAATATTTAGGAGCCTTCACCAAGAAATTTAAACTTTTCCTTTTCAGATAATTGATATGCATATCTCAATGAAGGGTGTACACATGTTCAATCATTTACATCAATCTCTGACTTGGACACAATCCACGAGGGCGTCTGTAGAACATCCTTCGATAGAAGAGCCGACATTTTGATCATGCCATTCCACAAAATATGTGAGATAGATGGAACAATTGAGGTAAAGAATAGAGGAATCCAAACAATTTAATATTCCTTAGCAGGCTCAAAGCCGTCTTGTATCAATCTTTTAAAGAACTTCTCTGCACCCTCCATGTCAGAAGCATTGACATATGCTAATAACATGGTAGTATGAGCAAAGATCTGGCATGTACCTATACGAAAAACATAAATCAATAATTAATATATCATAACTCATTAGACCTTGATCTTGAATGTACAAATTACATGTGCTTATCTTTTGATAACATGAAATTTCATGATTAATCTTTGTTTTTGCAGTGAGGTGAAGGTCTCCTCCATTAAAAGCGATGCTTCATGTGTTTTACCAACACTAGTGAAGCTTTAAGCAACATTTGATGTCCCCCAAATAAAGATGTAGTTTATTTCGATCAGTATGATTCGTTCATTTATTTGCAAACAGATATGTTGTGTATCAGTGTCAGTGTCTGGCTGTGTATCAAAATATTGAATATTAACGAAACATGAAGTTGCTGATCAAAATATTAAATGTTAACGTGAACATGAAGTTACTGATAAAATATTAAATATTAACGGAAATATGAATTTACTGATCAAAATATTTGAATATTAACGGAAACATGAAATTATTTATCAAAATATTGAATATTAACGGGAACATGAAGTTGTAGATCAAAATATTGAATATTAACAGAAACATGAAGTTATTGATCAAAACATTTAATATTAACTAGACCATGAAGTTATCGATCAAAATAGTGAATATTAACGTCAACATGAAGTTAGTGATCAAATTATTGAATATTGACGGGAACATGAAGTTATTGATCAAATTATTGAATATTAAGAGAAACATGAAATTACTAATCAAAATATTGAATATTCATAGAATAACTTTATTATTATTTTAAATATTTTTTACAATAATTCTAAAACAAAAATAATATTTATATAAAAAAAATATTACTATTTAAATATTTTTATATATTGAAAAAATTATAAATACTGATTTATTATCTTTTTAAAAAAAAATCATTTTATTCTTATTATATTTTAAGAACAATATACACGTAACATATCTGTACCCGTGCGATTCCACTAATTCAAAATACATCATAAAACGTAAAGATTAGATTTCACTGCACATAAATGTGATTGGAGAGAATCTGATCCCCAAGTAGGATTAAGAGATTTTATGGAAAACTTTGACGTCAGTAAACATCATTTTCCTCTTGATACTCGGTGTGAGCAGTTTTGGTGTAGAGTTCATCCATTTGATACACAATTTGATACGAGCAAAATAATCAATATCAGACTAGCAAAACAATTACTTTGCAGCAAAAGGTATATGTGATATTATCATATATGAAAAGAAAATATGACAAGAATGTATTTATTAAGAATGTCCTCTATGTACCAGGTAAAAAGTGTAAATTGATGAGCATCAGGTAACTGGTTGAGAAGGGATGAATGGTAACTTACTCCGATTTTCTTACATTCACAAGAAGCTAGTATTAAAGTATATTATCATAAAACAAGTCATTCAAATGTAGCATTCATATTGCAAATGAGGTATGTTTGTCGAGCATTCCATGATTGTATACCATCAAGCTCAAGAACGAGTCTTTTTAAGTGTTCAAGAAATTCAAAATGAGAAGTAGAGTGGAAAAACAATAAAGTTTTTGAGAACTAATAGTGATAGAGAGTCCACCTTATAAACGAATTTGAGTCATTTTCATGAGTCAAGGCATAATTCATGAAGTCGCCTCACCATATACTCCTTAACACGATGGTTTGATAAAAAGAAGAAACAAAATCATACTTGATATGGATAGAAGCATGCTAAAATATAATAAGAACATGACTCATAAGTGTCAGAGAAGTTGAGTGGAATAAAACCAAGTGTGAAGCATCTAAAAGTGTTTGACTCACTATGTCCCAAACACATACCTGATCGAATAAGGAATGATTAATCCATTTGATAGAATATTGACTTCGGCTCTATATCTATCTCCCTTCTCTAACTTGTTGAGACTTTCACAACTTGCCTCAAAGAAAATAGTTACTATCCCATAATTATTAAAGAATAATCCATTTTAAACATTTAACAACGCTATTATCTTCCATTTATTGTGAATTAGACCTAGTCATTGACAAAAAAGAAAAGTCTACAAACGATGTAACACTGCAATTTTGTTAATAAATCTACGAAACTGATGTGAAATCGAACAAATTTCACAATTACAATTGGATTGTCTCTTTTCCCTTCTGAAGGATTTTTAATCCAAAAAAAAATTAATGAAAGCAATTTTTTCCCCTCTTTGAATCTAAACTTTACTTATCTTTTCTCATAAGATGGAGGGACCAAAATCGTAAATTGAGAAAAGGAGGGATGAAAATAATTGTTAGTTAAAAAAAAAAAGTAGTTCATTTCCATCATCCGTGCTGAAGTGAGTTCAACGCTCCATGCAATGCTAAAGCTATCTATACTGCGCAATGACTATTTACATCCAAGGACCTCCTTGATTAACACAAAAAATGACTTCCTTGTTCAAGGCTAGCATATCAGAATTGTATAGGGCAAAAGCCCAGTCAATGAAGTAATGACCCTTCAAGAATTACTCCCATCTAGGAGACTCAGTAACCTCCTTACGAGTTAGCATTTGACAGCACCACACTTCTAGAATGATCAGGCTAAGAGAACGTCATCACCATTGCGCTATGTCTGTGTCTTCAAATTTATATCCATAAGCTCAACTTGTCTGCTCAAACAATCAACTTGATCATCATAATTAGACTTTTCCTGTGTCAAGCCACGTTTTAGATAATTAGCATCTATAAGGTGCCTTTCAACCATGGTATTATTGGCATCCAAATTACCCGCGTCAGTTTTAAGATGCGTTTTGTTTTGAACCTCCATGGGCACAACAGCTGAGTTTTCTACATGCTGCAAAGCCGTAGAAGTTTTATTTCCAACATCTGGTGATTTCTTAAGAGTACCTTGATGCAACACTTGCTGGTTATTGAACACTTTGTTTTTATTTGATTTGATTGATCTTGGTGATTGCAGCTTTCCAAGCTTTCCTTTGTTTAGGCCTTCAGAAGAACTGGCCCTACCTTGTGGCACAGTAGTGCGTGGTTGCATCCCTTCATGTGGATTGCGGACAGAGGGTTTCACCTACATAACATAATGATACAGATTAAGATGTAACAGAGATGAAGAAAGCAATGAGGGAAAAAGCACCATATCCATAAACATGTATTATACAGTGCCTTTAAGTTAAGGTGACTAAATTCATATTTTAGTCGTACAAAGTTTGATAACTCGTCCATAAACATTACTCTAACAAAATCAGTTCCTATATATATCACAAAAAAAATAACACTCACCCCTTCAAAGAAGCCAATCTTGGGTGATGGCCGTTGAAGGCCTAAAGATTTCTTGGGAGAGTGGGTAAGAACCATTCCTGTGGCAGTAGCCCCCCTTACACTCTGGCTGATGGATCCAGCATTCCTAGCCTCATTCCCTTCTAAGCATGGACCAGTTTGAGATTTTTGAGAATTTGAAACATGTTGAGCATTATTCCCTGGTAAATGCTTTTTACTAGAGCTACTGTGAAAGGTAGTCCTTGAACTGTTAGACCTAACTTTAGTCATAGAAGTTGATGGTGACGATGACTCGGAAGACCGATCGCTAATAGAGCTGGCAGGCGAAATGCTAGAAGAGAACTTGGTGACAGACACCAAGCCTGAAAGACTAGAATTGCTAGACCCAATTTTATCTCTCGAAGCAATTCTTGATGGTGTTCTGAAAACTGAGAAAGAGGGTGATTTTTTGGTTCCAGCATCAACTTTTCTCTTCAAGGAATTCGATGGTGATTTGCTACTATTACTAATACAGGATAAGTTGCTACTGGAAGATGAGCAAATTGTTGATTTTGCTTTTGTAGCACCTGGTCGGCCTAATGAGGATTTGGACAATGTGATGGGTTTAACCCCATTAACTTGAGAACCCTTAACGACAATTGTGTTCATAACAGAATCGACCTTACCTAAAAAGGGCAAATAAAATTAAAAGTGAACAGTTGAGAACAAGACAAACTCTAAGAAAAGAGGAAAAAAAGTACCACACTTCAAGTAAATTCTAACCACAATTTTTATTATTTGCCCTGTCCTTTTCGCTTTTGACATGAAGATCGCCAATGGAACTTCTATTGGATGATATTGTTGAACTCGGACTAGACTTTCCTAGTGTCTTTCGTTGCTTTGAAATACATGTCTCTTCCCTTCTAGCAACAGGTTTCTTTGAAAAGAAAAAAAAGAAACATAGTGAACAATATGTACAAAAACATGAGTTCTTTTAAATGTTTTCTTTAGCTGCTTACCCGTGATAGGTGTGGAGAAATAGGATTCTTCTTTGGTAATTTCCCTGTGCTTTGCATGCTTGCACTTGGACTCTTGGAACTTGTGACCTTCATCCAAAACTCTAAGTAATTACATCTACTTTTCAATTACTCGAAACACTTATGACAAAAATTCTGGTGTATGACTATGACTAATCCAATTACCTTCTTACAAGAAGCCTTGCCAACCACTTTAGAAGCTGAAAGGAGCAGGTGGAAAAACTTTATATGACTAATACGATAAATCAATGCATTAGAATAATAGGCAGAGTGATAGGGCAAGATAAAAGATAATAAAAGTCATTTCATGTCTTTGCAACTAGAAGTCCTGAACTAATTTCAACTACAATAATGAAATCACACTCAGATCTATGTGAAGATAGAAGTAGAAGCTTCCTTGACTTGCATCATTCAGTTTGAGTTGGGAGATAAATGTTTTTATAGGAAAAGACAATTATTCCAAAAGTCCCGTAACATAACTTAAAATTTCACATTCATTCTTCTCAATTTGCTCATTTTATGTTTCAAAATGTTAAAGCCATTAACCTCTAGAGTAATTTAAGATAAAAGCAGAGGCTTCCTAGACTTGCTTCGTTCTTTTCAAGTTTTACAGGGCAACTGGTAAAGATGAACTACTGATAATACAATACAGTCTCTAGGAAAATGACAACATCATATGCAACTAGCGCAGTGTTGTCGGTGGCGGATGTCGGTCCATGGCATAGAGCAAAAAATCCCGCCATACCGGCCGCTTCGCAGCGCCGTTATAGCGGAGTAACCCGCAATATCGGCGAGACCAAAAACTTCCATGTATATCCAGTATAGCGGATTATGGCAGAAAAATCCGCAATATCAGCGGATATTTACCATTGCGGCAAGCCCAAAAACGGGCATGTATGTCCACCATGGCGCCGCCATTTGAAAACACTGATCTAGCAGTTATGTGGTTATTCTAATTATCAAGTTCAAAACCAACTAAGTATGAAGTTTAAAATAACAAAGACTTACAGCCACCAGGATGGAACTCGGGTATAACTTTTCTGTTTAACCTTGCCACATCGGCCATCCTGCTGAAGTTCTTAATCGAAGCTCTTACATCTCGAAACAGATCATCCTCTACACCTTCCTTGATCAAGCTATTGTTACTTTTAAAGGTAGAGACGGACTCACACGATCCCTTTACATCCTCTTGAATCGCCGGTAGCGATGATGTGCGCTTATCACCCTTCTCAACACCCACAATCATACTACTCAACTCCTCAGGTTCCAAAACACCTGAACATGCATGACTCTTTACGATAAATCACACAACAAGAAATAGTACTAATAGCAATAACAACAACAAAGATAACACTGATCGCGATAACAATGTGTTTTTATTACCTACAAAATTTACAAACTTTTAACATGTGAATAATGATAAAATTACCAGGACTTGTGAAAAAAGCCGTATCCCAAGCCAAACTCTGACGCAAATTGCACTTAGTATTTTCGACCGCAATTGGACGAGGTTCCCGCTCCCACTCGTTGATTTTGGTGGCAGCATCGTCGAATTCATCTTTCGAATTCGAAGTACAAAACGGATTGACGATGAGAGAATCGTCAGCGGAAGAAATATCGATGAGACTGAGACGCCGATCGTCGCCGTCGTTACCGTCTGTTTCGGAGATTTTCATCTCGCAGTGAATTGAATTTAGGGATTTTTCAAAGAAAGAGTATAACGGAAGAAGAAATGCGGTTGTGCGGTTTTCAATCTTGGATTGTGATATATGGGAGAACAATACTCGAGAGCGCGCCAAAACATTGTATAGAGTCTATTTTGATTGGAATTTTAAAAGAAAACATTAATAGCATTTAACACTTAAAGAAATTGGAGATCCAATTTGCATAGAAAGAAAAAAAAAATAAGTCATTTTTATTTCATAAAAAATGTGTACAATTTAATTCCTATCTAAACCTACATAAAAATATTGGTTTTTTTGTGTGTATGATATATGTTTTTTCAAAAGGAATAATTAAACTTGGACAGTAATTTAAAAGAGATTATTTGATCATTTGTAATAATTAAAGTAATGGACTAAAAAAAGTTATTTAATAATTTATTCTTTACTAATTTCTCGTTTTATGAAGAAGTAATTATTAATTTTTAGAAATATATTTATTAGTAAAAAAATTCAAACCTCTAAAATAATGACATGCGTATATTTTTGCATGTTTTCTCCAAATGATTTTTACTAAATAACACTATTCTCATTTTTAATTATATGTAGAGATTTTCGAGATGGTTGAATAGAGATTTTCGAGATGGTTGAGTAGAGATTTTTTAAAAAACAATATATATAAATCAAATGTATTAATTATTAAATAAATTTTAAAATGTGAAATTTATTTAAAATATGGAACGAAGGTAGTATATGAATCTACTCACTTTAAGACTAAATTTTTTTAATCTTTAAATCATAATCTTTAAATTAAATTTAATTTAATAACTCATTAAATAAAAATATTAATTACTTATTAGAATATATTCAATTTAAAATTATGATTTAAAGTAAAAAATGATAATTTTGATATTAATTTTATTTTTTAAATAAAAACAACTGTTAATTAAAATAAAATAAAAATTTTACTAAAAAATTAGTTGATTGCACGTTTCTTGAATATTATCTAATTTAATAAAAAATTATTAATTTTATTAAAACTTTAAAATAAATACTTTAATATTTTTAGTAATATAAATCAATATGATAAAAGTCATCCGTGAGATGTTTTCAAAACGTATAAAAAGTGTAAAAAGGTATTATAATTTATTTGTAATTTAAAAAAAATTACTATACAATTAAATTGTCTACTTGTATATTATAATATTTTTTAAACAAATAAAAAGGAAATATATCTTGGTTTTACAAATATGTGAAAACAATAAGAAAATTTAAAATAATAAAATGAGTCAGATTTATCTATATTTAAATTTGGAGATTTCTTAATTTAGTCGTCTTATTTATTTGTATTCAAATGTGTTTTTTTTTACATTATTGATAGATATGAAAAATAAAATAAAATAATAACTATAAGATGTAAAATATTTGTTTGTATTTATCAATATTTTTGTTTTGTTTTATTTTTCTACTTTTTCATGTGTTTTTATGTTTACATTCATTTATATTATTGATAGATCTAAAAATTAAAAATAGATTAATAAATATAAGAAAAGAGTAAAAGATAAAATAAAATAAAATAATAATAATAATAATAATAATAATATTTTTAAAGGTGTATAAAATAAGACATTGAGGGATTTATATTAATAGAGAGGGAGTGGTTAAGTGAAATAAAAATATAAAAGATGGAAAAATATATAATAAATAATATTTCTAAAGGTGTATAAATAAGACATGTGAGGGATTTATATTGATAGAAGGGAGTGGTTAAGTGAAATAAAAATATAAAAGATGGGAAAATGTATTTAAAATGAGGTAATCAAATTAAAGTGTCACATGTCATTGCATGTATTAAAGTTGGAAGTATATAATTGTTGTATTATTAAAAGGGTTAAATATATATTATCGACCTTATATTGTAAAAAAAGATTTTTTTTAAAATCTCTCTCTTAATATTAAGATTCTGTCAGTTAAATCCTATTTAGATTTTATTTTTCAATGATATTATAAAAAAAATTGAAATTTTATTTTTTATTTAAATACCACATGGATTTTTTAATTTTTTTATATATTATATTTTTTTAATACCTTTTTTATTAATTTTTCTTAAATTGTTTTTATTAAATTATAGTTATAAATTAATTATTAAAATAATAATTTAAGGTTCAATATATTAGGAAAATACCATTATTTTCTCACTAGACCTATTACTTCAAATTTTGATAACGATTGAGCTGAATATGTTTATAAGCACTTCTATCTGATAGTTCTTCGACGTGGGACTCTAAAAATATACACCATACATGCAACTTCCATAAAGCCAGATCTCAAACGGACATTCGACGGATACATCACAGGCACACCTCGCTCGCATTGTTTGGAATCAATCAGTTATATTTGTGGAGCTTGCATGCAGTTCTCTTTTACGGGATCTAATGAAATTATTTATGAATAAAAACATGATCAGTTTTCAAGCTGCTGTCATACAAAACAACCAATAAACCAACCAATCTATAAAAGAGGCTCTTATACAAGTCAATATACTTAGCATTGAGGATAGTCAAAGCAGGTTCCTTATGAATCAATATACTTGAGCATTCTCATAATGAAGTTTAGCTACGTCATGAAGACTTAAATACATGAACTAAATCAAAAAGATTTCAGTAAGTTCCATTTAATTTGACAAAAAACAAAACAACAGTAACAAGAGACATTCAACTCACAATCATCATACAGACTTCATGTCTTCGCCTTTTATGATATGAAGTTACATTTGCTGATATAATACTTGTTACATCCTAAACTCTTTGAATGGATTTTACTACATATTGGATCCTGGCATGGTAGTGTGATACCTCAAATTTGTCTTATTGGTATTGATGGTCAATTTATTATGGTTGATATTTTTTTAATTAATTTTAATGTTATTATATTTTATTTTTTGCTTAAAAAATTAACTTATAGTTATATTGTATTAATTGTCTATTTTAATATTTGTTCAAATATAAGGAGATTTTGGTTTTAGGAGTTGTATGTTTATCATTTTGATCAAAGAGATTTGTTATGCAAATAAATATATTGGCCCATTAAGTTGTTTCTTGGGAAGACCCATTAGTTTTTTTTATAGGAGGTTGACCACTGAAGTCAACGTCTGATCCTTTTATATAAATTTAATTATTATTGTTATTTTGTTATAATTATTGTTATTGTTATTTTTGCTATTATTGTTTACGATTATTAGTATTATTTTTTATTATTTGTTTATTACTCAAATTTTGTTGACTAAGTCAACATTTGGGTGAAACCCTAATTTCCAAACAACGCCCGACTACTTCTTCATCCTCAAGATACCCAAGTCCAGAAGTCCAAATTTTCATTACAAATTAAATATGATAAAATATTTGTTTTTATTGACTGAATTTTTTTTACAGTATAACATAGTCCAGATACAATTCAAGTACAAAATCAAATCTTCTTAATTGGCAATTACAAATCAACCAGAATCAATCTCTAACCTAAAACTGCTAATCATCTAAATTAATTTCCTAATTCTAACCTATAAGTGACAAATCCTAAGACTATAAAAAGGACCCTAGGCTATTAGAACCAGGATGAAGACATTAACCATTGGAGATTCTTGATTGTTGTGAAATCCCACCCATTCACCAAAGCTTTTCTCATTGAAAACTTGGGTTTCACAACTGAAACCATAAGTTCTTCAGAGCTCGACCCCAGTGCTCAATTCAAAGTACCTGCAGAAAGAAAAAGAAAGGGGTTAGTAGTAGAAGAAGGAAAACCAGAAGAGAAAATTACATAAAGAAGCACGACATGGACGGTAACTCTAAAAACTTAGCTTATGGTTATAATTTGTTGATGTTGATTGGTGTTCGAGGTTTGTTGTCTTTCTAAAATTTGTGTTTGAACAGGGGTTTTCCTGTTTTGATTTAGGGTTAGGGTTAGGTAAAATACTTTAGGGTTTTGTGATTTAGGTTAGGGTTAGGTAAAACAAGTTAGGGTTTGGTGATTCAGTTAGGGTTGAAGAAGTGAAGTTAGGGTTCTTGGGATTTGGATGAAGATTGTTTAGGGTTAGGATTGATCTTCATATGATTCATGCGAACCCATATGAAGATAAGAAGGAGTCTGAGTTTTGGTTGAAGATCTTCATAAGATCTGGGTTATTGTATGAATTTGGACGGTGATGGTTGATGAGGGTGGTGGTGCCTTGAAGCAGCCTCAGGCGGAAGCAATTTCTGGGATGTGGTGCCCAGGGCGGAGGCAATTTCCGGAATTCTTGAGAGAAGGCATAACCTCTCTCTCTCTAGAATTATACAAAGGGTTTGTGTTTATTGTGAAGAGAGAGAGAGAGAGAGAGAGAGAGAGAGAGAGAGAGAGAGAGAGAGAGAGAGAGAGAGAGAGAGAGAGAGAGAGAGAGAGAGAGAGAAGAAAATGAGCCCTGAGCTCAAGTTTTTCTTTTTATAATGCTCCCTCCGTTCTCAGATGCGTGTCAGGTGGCTCCTTGAGAGCCCCTGGATAAGGTGACCGTGGATTGGTCGCCTACGCTTGTTCTCATCATACTCACAGTCAATCCCTGAATCTCAACCGTTCGTTCAACATACCTCCAAATCAACGTCCCAGGATTGAATCCAGAGGACCATTGATTGGAACGATCGTCTTTGATTTGTGCTAGTCCACCACAACTCCATGCTCCTTCCTACATTATGTCCAAACGAATCCAGAGTTTGTTTTGGACTTCTGAACAAAATTTTGGACCAAGCCCAATTCTGACCACACCCCTTTATTTTACTAGTCAGTTATAATTCTCACCTCTCATGTGCATCTTGGACCCGACTTTGGTTTGGGCTTAAGCCCTTCGTATTTGCACCCCTCTTGATTTAATTAATGCACCCCCTGATTTAAATAATTAATTAATTTATTAATTTTAAGTTTTTTTGTTTTGTTTATTTTATTTTATTCATGATATCTCATATCACTTTTTAACATATTGCATTAAAATG